GATGAAATTTGATAGGCCTATACGATATTACTAATTTTACTAAGAACTTTCCTTCAATATTACTAACGGCGTGAATCTTTTTATCGAAAAATGCGAATACTATTCTTTCTTATTGGACTTCCTAACTTAAACCGAAAATACTTCCATTTATTTTTTTATCAATCGTCCGCGTAAGTGTCCTATTAAAATGCAAATTTGATTGGAATTTTCGCAAAAACAATCACTGAAAAGCGCCTTTGCCCGGTAATTGAAATTCTGTGAAATCTTTAGATTCGGTTACGTTACCACAAAATAAGTACATTTTTAATAGCAGCAGTCTCAATGATACGTGCACTTTAGAGAGAAAAACGTGTAGAATTCCAACATGAAACAATACAAACCTACGCTGGAACTGGAGGCAACTTATGTTATTCCATAGTATATTATTAGATTCAGTCTAAATTTACAAACGGCGTGCTCATTAATTTAAATAACGCTTTGTGTTTGTATAAAGACGCCAATTAGGCGCAACCTTTTAATTTAAAAACACACAACCGACATTTGTTTCTAAGGGAAATTATAATCCTAGCGCTTTTGCGTAAGGTACTATTCTTAGTAAATAAGTAATGCGGAAGGTTGGTATATGATAAATTGTTGAATAATGCAAAAGCATCGGTGCGAAACAGATGTTTCCCTCCAACAGCGTTTAATTCTACAATCATCCTTAATTTATAAGATGGGTATAATAAGGGAAATTACAAAATGCGTACGACATACTATCCGAAAATTGCAATAATATATCATCTCGACGAACGCTTATATTCAATAAAAGTTTTCGACGACCGAACTTTAGATGGAAACTTACACTTAGACGTTCTTGATTAAACCTACAAAATTTCAAAATTGTGTAATACATTTCGGTATGCCGCACGTTGCCGCCTCTTCGGTTTGAGATTTTATTTGATTCGTAAATGGGCAATTATAATTTGCCTTAAACGACTAAGTCACTGTAGGAAAAATTGGACGTATGATGAGTTGCATATTTAAAGGGAGAGAGAAAGGCTGTCAACTATATCTTTTCAATACAGAAAAACTTACTTTTATATTACCCAAAAAAATGCTTAAAATCTCTCTTTTAGATCATCAATAGGAAAATGTGTTGCAAAAAATTAATGTTGCCTCTGCCTTTATCAACCGTTAAATCAAGAATCGACGCGTTCTGCAAATCTCTAACAGATAAAAACGTAACAAACAAATAAAAAGGGTAGTGAATCGCGCTGCACATAAAATAATGCCAAGTAGCAATGCTAACGACTGATACGGAGGATAAACGTATACTAAAACTGCAATTACTCGGATGGGTTAACTACATGCTGAAAAGTGTGCATTCCAATAATCTGGAAATTTATGAAAAAAAAAATAATCTGCGATTTTCATACGCCAAAGTAGAACTTCCATCTTGTTAAATTTAAAGGTAACATCTCAATATACATGGTAAAACTATCACGAGTAACGGGCGATCAAAAATGAGTTGCTGTCTAGTCGCCTTTCCATGTAAACAAAAATTTCAAAGGCGACTCGACAGCAACTCATTTTTGATCGCATAGTATATCCATGATGAAGTGCAGTGAGTCTACTAAATTTACATTTAACCGTCCCTCACACTCTACAGTGCTAATTACAGCATTTAATTTAAAACATGCACACAAATCGTTACGTTTACAAAAACAGTTTCATTGGAAATTTAGTTCGTAGTTTGCTATCAGAATGGAACATTAATTGGTTTCATTCAAATAGTACAGTTTATAGGAACACAAAAAACGAATACTTAGGGCAGTAATTACTTGATCAAAAGCATTCATTAATGCCGTTCGATGAAATGTAAAACGCAGAACGCAGAACGTTTAGATGTGTATGTAAAGTAAATACGTGTACGCCTTTACAAGTGGAGAGCCAGTCAACTATTGGTTATATTACGCTACTGCACTATTGGTTATATTACGCTACATTGAGACAGGCGATCACCTTTACGAAAACGGAGAAACTGGTAGGTATATCTCATTCCACATATTTGAACTTCTGATGGTTACAATCAACACAATTCGCTATGGCGTCGCGTTACTTCTCTGATTATCCTTTTGTCGTAAAACAATAGACCTCTCGTCGCTCTAATTTCAAATTTAATTTTCTGTGCGTTCGCAAATAATTTTCTTTTGTTAATTGACATAAAGCACAATTCTCTATCTTTCGTTTTATATAAAAATATTAGATTGATGACTGAGAAACAGACACAATTTCCAAACTTCTAATTATAAACTTGTTCCATTACGGGTGATTGTCTCCTACAGAGTACCTATAAACTATTAACGTTATGCTTGAAAATCAATTCATCTCGGTATTATTTGCTCACCTCTCTCGGAATTTTACCGAAATGCATCTTGAGCGGGGTGAAGTAATAGTTCTATTATTCAAAGTACTTTCAGTTTGAGTGCTTCATTTCGAATGCTATAAAATTCCAAATGTAAAGTTTGTGTTAATCGTACTATTTGAGGTGAAAGGGTACAGATTCTAGTGCGGACTTGAATAGAAAGCCCGAATAAGTGATTTAAATTCTTCGCAAAGCGTTTCAAACGGCAAAGCTGAGCGTGCACATCATGGGATGTAATGAAAGGCTAATCGAATTACTACCGAATGCATCCTTGAATAAGATCGTCACCGATTGCTATCTTGTAATTGCGGCTCATTGGCGTTGAAAGCGAATAAGAAAATTAACTATGATCTGATTATATCTACCTATTTAGTAAATGAAGCCTTACAAAGCCAACAAAAAGTAGTAAAAACATAATTCCATGGATAAACAATAAATTGCTGGCAGTATCCTTCCTACACGGTAAGTTGAGAGCAATCATACCATCAGTTTAGTGCACTTCTATAAAACAATGGCACCTCAAAAGTGGAGTACAGAGAGTAAATATGATATTCGTTACATTTTATATGAGGAAAAGAGTGTGGAACCAACTTCGTCGTCCCGTTGCGGTGGTGTGGTTGAGATGGATTTTGACCCATATAACGGTTTGGTTTTGGCGCAAACCAGGACCGGTATTGCTCCGGTCTAGCTCACTTTGGAGGCGATGCTGTAACTCAGGGATTCGCGGGGGTAAATTGACAAGAGCGCCACTACGTTTTAAAGGAAAAGGAAGGAAAGGGACTAAACACAGAAAATCCTGAAAGAATACAGAATCGTTACTTGACGTACAATTAATCCAAAACAAAAAGCTGTAAGGAACATATATAAGAGAAGGTAAAGAGCAATAGAACATTGTCAAATCAAAAGTGACCTGAAAAAGAAGATAAAAGTAAAGGAATGTTATCACAAGGACAAGGACAATTACAGGTTTTGAAAATTTAAATAATGAATCTGTACTCGATTCTAACAGGCAACCAACCATACATACGGAAGAACAAACCGTTATACCTACTGATGCTATTGCCGTATGCCAACAAGCACGATGGCCTCCACCAAATCTCCGAAGAGTACCGCAAGACTTACGCGCCCCTCCCCGACAGTGCCGTACCTTAATGGCGCAAATACAAATATTCCGCTTTGTCTGGACACATGGTATAATTTTTAAGCTTAAATGTCGCATTAGTAGACTCTGTAAATCCCATATTTGTAATAAAAACGTGTTACGAAGGTATGAAGTATTAAAGGAAGTGATTCTGGGAAAGACTCGTGCATTTCCATGGATCGAATTCTGCCATAATTTCCTATATTGAAAAAGAATCGGATTCAAATTTAGAATAAATGTGATTTAGTATTAACAACATGGGCAAGCATCGGAGCACCGTTCCCAAGTTAACATTTTAGATACGGAATTTCATAGACCATTTCTTATCTCGGATTTCATTTTGTAGACGACCATTTGCAAGAGAAGCATTTTGTATTTATTTTCATTGGTTATATATTGTAATAGTTATTTACATAATAAGTCATGAAAGTGGTCGTTTACATCTCTTTAATGCCTCCAAGTCAGGTGGACGTATTATGTATAAAATTTTACCTGAAACCGCAACATGTAGATAACTTTTCCAAATTAAATTATTCATATGTGTGAAATTTTGATACCTAATCACGCATGCTAAAATCACTTTATATAATTGTTTCCATAGAGATTTCAAAATAATTAAAACAATCAGTGTCAATGACTTTGCTTAAAAACTTGAAAGTGAGTGAGTGAGAACAGAAAAAAGCGCGAAATTTGGCGGCAAACGTAAAAGTCAATAAGCCCAATGCCATTAAACATGGCACACAATAAATACTAAACTTACATTATTATTATTTTGATTACTGAGGTGTGAGGTAACTAAATGTGTATAAACAAAGAAATACGATAGATAATACTTATTAAATAAGGTTTCTTTACGTTTGAATTTTTTTTGTATTTAGGCTTCCTATGACGCCATATTTTTTACTCATATAATTGAAGATTTGAGAAAATCAAAACATCATATTCTTGAGCATTCCGTGTCCGAGTTTCGCACCAAATGGCATTCGACCGTATATCCGTCTCGCACTCTTGATGCTGATTGGCTGCAGACTTGAAATTGACCAATTGCATCCCCTAGGTGCAAAATACATATACGGAATGCTTAAATGCATACGGTTATCATTTCCAATGTTTCCGATGGCTGCATGGATTGTGAAATCTATTTTTTTCTCAACAATTTAAAATTATGTCGTAATTGCCACACATACCGAGACCCCTTGGGACAAGGTACAAAGCGTACTGATAACCCAACTACTGTACAGTTTTTTTCTAAGGCTAAAAAAACCTGATTCACAAAAAGAAACATAGGTAAACAATGTTTGTGACGTCACCTCGTAAGCTCATTTTCGTTTTCAGCGTCAATTCACAGAATTTGTGTTGGCCTCACGAACGAAATATCTCATCCTTTGTTATAAATAAATGTTTTCTTTTAAAGGAAGATATTATTATCTGCTAATTTGATTTTAGGGATCAAAGTTTATCTTTCGTATGTTGTGTATAAAAAGTTCCTTGCAGCAGACTGACTTGGACAAAGATACTCGTTTTGACAAACCATGCTGAAGTTAGTAGTGTTAGTTTCTCTGTTCGCCGCCAGCTTGGCATCCTTTGTAAGTATACTAACCTGATCGATACTACTTAGCTCTAACATAATTCACTCTGTAGAAGTTCAATGTCGACCAAAAACATGTTAACTCCTGGAAGAAGCTATCAGTACCACATAACGTGTGTCTCGAAAAAGAAAATATCTCTCCGGAGAGGTTTGACAGTGCATTAGATAATATGGATTTTCCAGAAGATAAACATTTCAAATGCTTATTCCATTGCTTCTTTGAAAAATTAAACTTTTACAATGAAGCGGAAGGAACCTATAATCATGAACTGATGATCGAACAAATATCTGGACTAACAAAGGAGCGTGCCAATAACTGTTACACACCGCGCGGTCCACATGATGATTGTGAACACGTTTTCCATGGGGTGAAATGCGCTATAAAGGCATTAGAAGTATAAAACGACTCGTTTATATAGATCTGTATTGTTAATGGGTTCTACCGTAGATCATGTTGTATTTTGCAATTCTTACATCGAAATTACAAGATTGTTCAGATATGAGCATATTTGTTTCTTTAAAAACGCACAATGGCAATGTTTCTCAATACTTTTGATTCAAAATATGGCATTTATGAGGGCTACTAATGCGAAAATTAACTTTAAATGTAAGAACCATGTACAGCAGTACATGGGAATGATGTCCGCCAAATGAGGAAAACACTGAAATGTCCTATTCGCTGACCACCCTACTAAAAAACAAGGTGTGTTACCACGAAAACAAATCGGTTGACATTAATCTTTTCTCTTTCATATTTGCTAAGAAATCAGATCACACGCCGGTCACCACCCTTTGCAACATAAATTTTGCTCCTCTCGTGCAGAGTATAGGTACAAAACTGTTGCCTTACGTCAGTAAATCCATTGCAAGTAAATGACAAGAAAGGTAAATGGCGTCACAAAATTTTAATACAGCTCTTATACGCAAACATTTATTATTTAACGAAATATTACAAGGCGGCATTAAATTTACAATAAGGAGGGTGTCCGTGTCTCACGACTTTACGATGTATGTAAATCTTAACGCGGATAATATGTTCATTACTATTTTACCGTACAGAGTATCGATTAGGTTATCTACACGCATTCTAAATGAAAAGAACTACCTACTACTACAGGGGGTTGTAATTAAATATTAAATTCATAATTAAAATTACAAGCACGTTCCGCTGCCGTCTGCCGTAATGCGTAAAGATAAGAATAATTTATATGGCGTATTCCCAAATAATTTAAAAGATTGATTGTACACCGAATTTCATTACATCGGCGACGTGTTGCGAGCAAAAATCTGTCTCAAATTTATCAACGGACAGTATATGAAGAGAGTAATCACATGATATTCCGGAATCCGTACCATTGTGTCCAGAGCGTGCGGATATCAGAAAACATGTCTGTATTAATATATACATCGTCTAATAATTTATCTTACAATATATGCCTCCTTCTAGGTCTCGAGGTTATTGGGGTTAACGACAGACTACACATACTGACAATCGAAAGCGTTTCTACCGAGTTGAATTTATAACGTAAACAATTATCGCGGCGTTACCCGTGCAGGAGTAGTGACGTTGTCAGTTCGTACTATTCATACCTTGATGACGCCTTTCAGAATATTTTCGCAAACAATTTTATATGATGCAAAAAACTCGAGACATTAATTATAATTATCATTTGATCGTGTGTTAACTTTAGTCGCCATAGCGCACAACTGTGACACGCAAAATAGCACGTTAGAACAATGTAAAAATGCGCTGTATGCTTTCGTGTATTCAATTACAGCACAACACTTGGAATGATATAATAAAAATCAGGATAACGTGAAATGTCAGGGATATAAGAATGTTGGGAATAAGATTTGCATAGTATTACCTCTCTCATTTTCATTCTTAAAGGGGTAATATAATATTGTTACTTTTTCATTAAGAAAATCTTATCTGAGGGAGCAAATAAAGAAATTCCTTTGTTTTTCCCTAATCCAAACATTACTTTCCATAAAAGATTTGCCTACTTGTAAAAATTACGACATTTCCTTTCTTTTAAGATTAAAGTACGAGTTCAGCGTACTGTAATGTGATGCAACTTTTTGAAACGCTTCAAAAAATTATATTTGTTTAAGAAATGCACAATAATACAATTTTCGAGACTCCAACTGGAATCTTTTCGAAGTGAAACTTCTTTAGGCCGGGGCAGGCCAAGTAGAGTAGTAGTTTTGTTTTATTTTGTAGTGCGCGGTGCCTTGTCACACTGTCGCACGAAAGGTGTGTTTGAAAGCTTTATGAATTTAGAATGATCCATTCCTAAGTTGGGCGGTTCGTCACAAAAAAAGGAAATGAAAGAAGAAATCCAAATTTCACCACTTCTTTGGCTCCCAAACGAAACACGTTGGACCCTCGGTTTATTTGGAAAATCCCCTCTATCACCTAATTTTTTTTTCATGCGGTCATGTAACACCCTGTATAATGGAAGAGGATTTTGCAGCTCTATAGAATCCACCTCCTCTGCATCCCGCCTAAATAAAATTCTAACATTCTAAAATATTATAAAATCATAGTTTTCAATATTTAAAATAAACGCGTATAAATCAAATTTATTTCACTGCCAAAAAGTAAACGGGAAAGATCATGATTTTAGTTTATTTAGCCTTTATTCGTGGATTTTGAGAGAAGAATCTATAGAATATATACAGAAGAGAGAACAGGGCTGTTATTTGCAGAAAAGTGACACTATACGCAAAGCAATGTGAAATTAAACCAACAGTGGAGATTATTATTATGCTTAATAGAATATTTCCCTTTTGTACCTTCGGTTACATTGCTGAAATATTTACTAGCGTGCATAATTTCTACCTTTGACAAGTTGCGTAAACGTACCGTTATCAAATTAGCTGTATAAAATATAAAAGTTGGTATATTGCGCAATTCAGCAAGGTAATTCAAAAGCCCATAATTGCGTTTTCCCTTGGAAACTCCTTTTTTATATTAACCACAAAATATTAAATTTCCGTAACTGGCCACGATAAATTTTAATTCATCGCGTTTTAAAATTTAAATTGCATGTATCGTGGTTTTTACTTAAAATCGTATTAAACTTTAACTGAAAGGGCTCGCACACTCGGCCTTTTTTATTGCAAACTGTAGACCTGCATGCTTAATGTTAATAACTTTACCGAATACAACAAACACACCCATTTAACTGAAGGGATAAGTAATTTATTTGCGGCGACTTAATTTTCGCTTTGTATTTAATGTTTTTTTTTCTCTTTAAAACTTGGGATTAATCTGGCATTCGTTAGGTAATTAGGGACATGTGGTGGTTTAAGCGAAAATGTTCTTTGATTTATTCATTAAGTCGCTAGGTGTGTTCCAAATCAAGAGCAATTACTTTTTAGGTCTGTCCCCTTCCCAAAATGTTTTAACATTATTCCTAGCCAGTTTTTGTTTAGGGTGTTGGGGTTGCAAACTGCAGTATACCAGTAAAGCTTTTATTGTTTGATTCCCTATTCGTACAATTTTTCACTGCAGTCGTTAAACACTATTATCTTCCCTCTCAGTTAAACGACAAGATTAGAATCGATTTCCTCGGTTTTATGCGCAATTAAGTTAAACAGCAAGAAAAATTTTTATGCCATGCAGTAAAAAATTATGTAGGTATGTAAATACAACAGAGATTTTGTAATGATTATTATATTTTATCATATCGCAAGTTTATGCCTTTCCAGCCAAAATTTTCAGGTCTCTTACGTTAAGTTTTTATAACTTTACAACCTTAATTAGGCCTATAAAGTTTCAGCAGATTTCTTAATTAAACGCGACTTTGACTAACACGTAAGCAATATTTATTCAATGGATTTTAGTCAAATCTGGCCATCACTCTGAAATACTTGGATTAATTCTTGCTGCATGGATATTTGTATCTATGTTGTAGCTTTCTACTATTTTCCAGTGGAGACAATCGACACTGTAAGGAATTATTAAGAACGGTGACATCTACTTATGGACATTTTATATTTGGATTCTAATATTTGTAATTCAACATTACCCGGTTAGGAAAAATAAACATACCATACTCTTATATCGATCATAAATATTTTAAGATGGAACCTTTATTTTAAAAGCAAATATTGGGATTCGGGAAAAAAGAACATATTGTAATTTTGATTTCAATTTTACAAAGGCAACAATAGAACCCGTGACATTCGAATATTGTACAATAGCGGTACATTTTTATACAGCACAAAGTCTCAAATGGTCATTTTAGCGATTTATATGAATAATAAAAATTCTATACAATGAAGGGTTTTATGACGTGGAATCGTTTCCTGCATGGTTCTTCCATTAATCAGGCATAACAGGCGTCTCTGACAGCCTGAAAGGTAAAATGCAAACTCTATGAAAATATTTTTTTGCATTTCTCATTCCAAAAGCTAATATAATGAAACTGAATAATTCGTTTCTGTATTCGCGTGTTTTCAAAAATTTGACCGCTTTGTCCAGTGCTTTTCATAGTAGAGCGTTATACTACAATAACATCCATTAATGATATGCCAATAAATAAAGCAACAAAGAATTATTGTTATTTACTCCTAATTCGACATTGCGGATCAAAGTTTATCTCCAATAAAGTGAATAAATAAAGTCTCACATCACCGACTAAATTCGTCTAGACACACCATGCTGAAGCTAGTAGTGTTGGTTTCACTGTTCGCCGCAAGTTTGGCGTCCTTTGTAAGTATACCAATCTGAATTGTAGGTACTTAATGGCTTTAATACAACTCACATTGTAGAAATTCAATGTTAAACCAGAGCTCGTTCAGTCCTGGCACAAATTCACTCTTCCGCCACATGATGTGTGTGTAGACAAAGAATATATCTCCAAGGAGAGACTCGACAGCGCTTTCGAAAACATGGAGTTTCCAGATGATACGCAGTTTAAATGCATGGTGGTGTGCATCTTTGAAAGGCTGAAGTTCTACAATAAAGGGAAAGGAACGTATAATCATGAGGTGATGATCGAAGAAATAAATGGACTAACACAGGAGATTGCCGATAAATGTTACAAAACGCGCGGATCCGCAGATGACGACGATTGTGAACATATTTTCCATGGAGCGACTTGCGCTATAAGAGCACTGGAGGAATAAAACTGGTTGTAATTATATACGTCTGGCACTGTATCATTGAATAACAATGTGGAGTTTTTATAGCTAATCAAGCTATTCGTTAAAAGTTATATCATATCTCAAACTGTTAGTAAATAACCTTATCATTTTGCAACAATAATTAAAAACACTTGACTTTTGTTTTACGTTGCTTAATGCATCCAAATCGAAGTTTTCGCGATTCCGTTAACTAGTTGTCGACTTATACTGTACTAGTATAACTAGAGAAGACTAAAGTTACAAAAAGTCTACGTGACAATGGGACTATTGTAATTGTAAATGTAGACTACCATAACGACGCGGTATGATGCTAAATCTAAAATCAATCAATAGTCACTACTGCGATCAAAAGTAGAAGAAGCCAAAACATGGCACCTGGCATCTAGACCTAAGAGTGCGGTAACATCGGACCGTCGACCTTGGCTTCGCATATAGGTAGAAGAAAATTCTACTAAACACGCGCGCCTTTACAAAACGTTAATTTCTTAATTCTAATAAACCATAAACTTTTGCTTCATATAAATAAATAAATACGAAAAATGCGATTTTTGAACAATTCATTACCAAATTGGGCTGTCATTTGCTTTAGGGCCATTACCCGAGGATCACCTGCACCTTAGTTTTCTAACTCAATGTCTGCACCCTACAGCTAAAAAAGAAGGATATGAACAGAAATGTAAATGCCGTATTCCTAAGTGGTGACACCTAAAGTCACTAGATATAGAATATTTATTATATTATTTATATTTAGTGACTTTAGTGGCACCCATAGATACATAGATACAGCCATACCCCAACATAGTTCAAAAGGACCTACCATCTATTACCATCACTTTCAGCACATTAATTACGTATAGCGCTATCCTTTATAGAGGTACCGTGAGCATGGAAGACAAGATTCGCATTATTTATTATAACTGTCAATCAAATTGTACACAAATCACACAGAAAATTATCAGATTTGAGATTTTACAACATAAACCGCCTTTTTATTTATTTAAATCGCATAGCAGCAAGAAAGGTTACATTTAAAATGGAAGATGTTACTTATAGGCCAGTCAAAATCGACAATAAATCAACAAAGCATGACGTATCTCTGATTTTTTAGTATGTTGTTTGGGGTAGTGTATACTCAAGTTTGCAACTCTCTAAAAGTTGTGGAAAAAGTGTAGTATACAAAAAACCGCGAAATTTTCGGACTTTTTGCAGTGTTTGCGTTATATTTCCTTAACTATGCATTTTTCGACGAAAGTCACTATATACGTTTTTGAATAGTATTAAATGTGTAACAATTTGCGCCTAACCCGAGCTTTGTAGGTCAATTAGTTACCGAATTCCGGCACTTTTTTTCCAAAAAGTGAACATTTTAGTTTTACACCCTCTTTAGATCGAAATTGCGGCTGAACTATTGATCCTATGAGTAGAACTTATAAAATAGAAGTTGTTAATTAGCTTTAAATTAAGCGTAAAATGGGGTCTGTAGGCCTCGTAGTTCTCTCTAAATCTAAAAAAAAACGATATAAGGTAAAATTGTATTTTTCCAGAAATGTTCCAAAAACTTTTTATCTTTTGTTTTTTGGTGTGGAAATAAAAAAGCAATGTGTCAAATCACTTTTTTGCATATTTAAAATACATTGTGTACTTTTTCCACGGGCCATATAAGAAAGTATAGTTTGTGATAATTTCGGCAGTTCTAGGTTCTAATGTAAACCCGAGTGTCTTCAAAAAGTTGATGATCGAGTCCAATACTCCACAGAATTCCTTCCGCTTTTGAGGTTTCGACTAGAACCAGCAGGATTATATTGTGCCAGTAGAAATTTTTTAAGTCATTCATATCTGCATGTAAAGCACTCTTATATTGCGAGGGTTGTTACTTTACGTAGTACACCGTACATTTTTGTTTCTTTAATAGATTATGCTTATCTGGGACACTTTTTCCAAGCGAGAGAAAGCCCGTACCAATGAGTAGCTCGTCGTACCCACTGTACACTACAGTGGGTACACTATTCGGAATACACTATTCGGATTCATTTTTATATACTTATATAGACTTTCGCAGACATCCGTCCTGCAATCGGATGAATAGTTTAGTACGTCTAACCCCCAAAGTTTAGTCGCAATCGGATAAACGGTTTAGGCAGCTGGCAGAGGCATCATAAGAGACAGGACGTATACAATGTTATTTATTTACATAAAAACCTTGAAATATGTCCAATCATTACCCAAAGTTTCGTCGCAATCGGATGAATGGTTTAGGAAAGCATAAGGGACATTCATACGTACAGACAGACGGAAATTGTTTTATTATATAGAAACCTTCCCGGACATACGACCAACTATTCTCCAAAGTTTCATCGCAATCGGATGAACGGTTTAGGCAGGCATACAAGACATATATATATATATTAGCACTATAGGCCTTGTAGGCCCTTGGCTCGGTGGACAATTGATGCCCATTTTGTCCTATTTTCAGCAGCTGCCCTCCACTCCCGAACCTGTAGTCGCGCTAGATCGTCTTCGACTTCCTTTTTCCACTGGGTTCTGGGTCTTCCTACTCGTCTTCTACCTCCCATTTCTGCTGTCCAAATTTTACTGGGAACTCTTTCTTGGTTCATCCTTATTAAATGCCCCATCCACCTTATTCGTTGTGCCTTTACTACACCTACTATATCAGCATCGTCATACAGCTCCTTTATTTCTTTGTTTGTTCTCCGTTCCCATGTGTCTCCCACTCTTTTACCTCCATAAATTTTTCTCAGAATTTTCCTTTCCCATATACTGAGTAACAACTGTTCCTGTTTTCTTATCGTCCACACTTCAGATGCGTAAGTCACTACCGCCCTTATAATAGTTTTGTACACTCGGAGTTTCACTGCTCTAGAGAACACGTTTCCCGTTATTATTGATTTTAGCGCGAAAGCACTCTTGGTCCCTGCAGCTACTCTAGCACTAATTTCATCTGCACTCCCGGGTGTTTTTGATATTACTGTCCCTAGATACACAAACACACCTACCTCTGAAAATCGGTACTCACTGTTTTGGTCTATTGTGATTTTTAAATGGTTGGTCACATTTTTTATTGTCCCACACCATATATTTGCTTTTGTTTTCGTTGATTTCTAATCCTATTTTTTTAGCAGTTGTTATAATCTTCTTTGCAGTATTTTGTAGTTCGTCTTTTGACCTTGTTAAGATTGTTAAGTCGTCTGCGAATGCGAGGATTTGATGCCTGTTGTGACAAATTGTGCCTTGACGATTGGCGTTGCTTTCTCTCAAAATCTTTTCTAACACGAGGTTAAATAAAGTAGTTGACAGTGGGTCGCCTTGCCTCAAACCGTTCTTGACTCCGAACTTTCTTGAATATTCTCCGTTCACTCTCACCATATTTGTCCTGTCTTGTAAGGTCATGTTTATCAATCTGATCAGCTTATGCGGTATTCCAAGGTCCTTCAACGCCATGTATAGTTGTTCTCTCTTAATGCTGTCGTAGGCTTGCTTAAAATCGATAAACAGAAGGTGCGTTTGGAGTTGGTACTGGTAACTTTTCGCCTGTATTTCCTTTAGTACAAATATTTGGTCTACTACTGATCGTCCTTGTCGAAAACCGCATTGGTATTCACCTAGTATTTCTTCTGAGTAAGTTTTTAATTTGTTGTTTATGCAAGTGGCTAAGATTTTGTACATTGTATCTAGCAGAGCTATTCCTCTATAGTTTTCACAGTTTTGTTTGTCACCTTTTTTGTAAAGTGGACAGATTAATGCTTCGCTCCAAGACTTTGGCATCTTTTCATTTTTCCATATTTCCTGTACCAGTTCAAATATTTGTACATGTAGCTTTCTTCCTCCATATTTCATCATTTCTGTTTGTATTCCGTTTGCTCCTGGGCTTCGATTGTTCTTTAACTTGAGTATTATGTTTATTATTTCGTCCAGTTCCGGAGCTTCGACATGTGCCTCGTTGCTTGCCTGTGCTGATAGATTCGTTTGTAATGGTTTCTCGTTTTCTCGACTTTTGTTGAGTAGATCCTCGAAATATTCCGCCCATCTTTCCATTATCTGTTTTTGATTTCCTATTAAATTCCCATCTTTATCCTTACACATTTTTGTTGTCGGCTGGAACCCTCTTTTGACCTTTTTTGTGCCCTGGTAAAAGTTTTTAATCTCCTTGTTTTTATATTTTTCTTCTATATCTTCTAATATTTTAGCTTGGTGTTTTCTTTTCTTCGCTCTGCATATTGCTTTACACTTTTTCCGGTGCTCATCGTAGTTGCGTATGTTTTCTTCTGTATTTGCTTGCAACATCTTCATCCTGGCTTTTTCTTTTTGCTGTACCTCTTGTTGGCATTCAGCGTCGTACCATTCCTTATTTGGTCTGTGTGGCCTTGTAAAGCACGTCCGTGCTGCAGAGTTTAGATTGTCTTCTATCCACTTCACCCTTTCATCTATACTTTTGTGTTGTTCTTTCCTTTTTAACTTTTCTTCCATTGCTTTTTCAAATTTTATTTGCGAATTGTGTTCCTGTATACCTATTCTTGCTTGTTTCCTCTGCCTTGCATTATGTATTGCTGTATTAGTTGGTATCATTTGCTTCATCTTTATTCCAACTAAAAAATGGTCAGAGTCTAGATTTGGCCTTCTGTAGCTTCTTACATCTTTAATAAGTTTTTCATTTTTAATGTCAACTAAAACATGGTCGATCTGGTTAATCGTGTTTCCATGTGGTGCTCTCCAAGTGCCTTTGTGGATCGTTTTGTGTTGGTAGTAAGTACTCTTTATCTTCATATTTTTGCTCATCGCAAAATCTATCAGCAGTCTTCCGTTTTCGTTTGTCTCTAAATGCATACTGAATTTTCCGAATATTGGCCTGTACATGTTTTCGTTTCCTACTTTAGCATTGCAATCGCCTAACACTATTTTTAGATCGTATCTGGGGATTTTTTCATATACAGGGTGTTTTTTGGGAGCTTTAGTTAAAAGTTTCTGGGAAAGTAAAATAGGTAGGTTTTTGAAAATTTGTACTTAGGAGTTACTCTGAAGGCCGAATCGATGTAAAATATTTTCAAAATGGCCGCACTTCCGGAAACACCGGAAGTAGATAGTAACTTCGTTATTTTAAATGGCAACCCCTATTTTTTATTGCAT